AGAGAGAGAGAGAGAGAGAGAGAGAGAGAGAGAGAGAGAGAGAGAGAGAGATTCACCCACCTACGCTGTGGGGCTTTGTTTAAAGGCTGGACTAACAGCCCTTCACGTGGCCGCCAGTCAAGGGTGCAAAGGCATCCTCGAGTCGATAATTCAACACGGGGCTTGCCTAGATAAGCAGTGCAAGGTAAACGTCACTCTCGACGGAATCGTCGGCCTTTCTAAATATATCCGTAGTAAATTCCTAATCGCCCGTTCGGGCTCTCGCTCTCTGCCGTGCATGTGTTTTTGCAGAACGGCAACACAGCCCTTCACCTCGCGTGCCAAAACAACGCAGTGGACACCGTCGAGATATTGATTAGTAAGGGTGCAGACCTCAACTGCTTAAACGCGGTAAGTTTGCAAACTCGAGGCGATTCGATTCGGCTACACAACATATGCGCACATTGAAACACGCACAAACAGACTCCTAGCTGTGTACGATGGCAAATCAAGGAGGAATATGTATGGATAATATGATGGGATAATGTGCAGAGACTACAGTCTCCGATACACATAGCGGCGGAAATGGGACACACGGATATTTGCAAACTGCTTCTCGCGGCCGGAGCGAATATCGAGCAGCGAGAACAGGTGATAAAAGTAACCTTACCAAAATATCCAATAAGTCTATGGCTGATATCCAGCTCACGTTGAACCTTCCACTTTGTGGACCTTACAGTGGGTAGTCCAGTTGAGACGAGCCAGGAAATTGACTTCTGGTGCCCGTCTCCGACTGGAGACGATCCAACGTTTTCTCATGCTCCGTCTGTTCCAGGGTGGCCGCACGCCCCTCTACATAGCGGCAAGGGGCAGCTTCACGGCAATCGTTGACATGATCATAAAGACCGCAAGGCTGGATTATCCCACCCCGGTAAAAGGAAATCGTAACGACATTTCATCCCTTCGTTTATTATCGCGATTTAACGTGCGTCGGTAACGCCTTTCAGGAGGATTCCAACTCGGATAAGGAAGTGCGCGAGCTTACCCCAGCCAGGAGGAGATGGAGGGAGGAGCCGAGGGGTGGCAGCGTATCCAGCAACAACAGCGGACTCACGGAAAGGGTCAGGTCGCTGCTCTGGCGATTGGCTTACAAACAGCTGGCGCCGGCCGACTGGAAGAAATTGGCTCTTCACTGGGCATTCACGCACGACCAAGTCAGGGCCATTGAGCATCAGTACACAGGTACCATCGACGTCCATGCTTATGCTAGATATTCCATAGGGAATTCGAGTTTGAACCATGATCGAGGTAGGAAGATCGGGGCACCCTGGGATGTAACCAGTAAGGGGATTGGGTGTCAGGTAGTATCCTTCGTATCTCGATCCTCGATAAGTAAGGAGGAACAGCCATATGAAAAGGACGATAAAGGCACAATCGTAGGTCCCTCGAGTTACAAGGAGCATGGATTCCGGATGTTACTGATCTGGGCTTCCGGTCTCAATCCCGACGTGAACCTCGTCAAGGAACTCTACGAGGCTCTCTCGGCGATCGACAGGAAAGCAGTGGCTGGTCGGTATTGGACCATTCGAGTAAATAATAAAGAGTCCAACAAGGACTTTGACCCTCCAGCCCCGAGCAACCTCGTTCTTCCTCCTTGATCTTTGCTTCTTCTCCGCAGACTCCATGCGCAAGAGACTGGACCAGGAAAGCGAAGGAAGAGCCAAATCGACGAAGCAACGCTGTCACAAGTGCACCATCACGTGAATCCGGAGTTGGAGGCTGTATTTCGGGAACACGAGATGTCATCCATCCCACTTGATCTTTCTTGCCCTACGCGAAGACAGGGAAGAGGAGGGATCTGGACCGTCGGCAATCCGCTTCAAGGAACTCTGCTGTCGTTACTTACCCCACTTGTTGTTCGCGTCCACGATGCTACGAAAACGTCCAGACTGTTTGCAGTCTGCGCTACCACGCTGGAGAACGCTGGAGAACGCTGGAGGACGACGTTCCGTCTACGTGAAGAATCGGCAGCTTCAGTAACGGCTTCATTTCCCTTTTCGCGGAGACATGCGTGAGAAGGATCCAGGAGCAGCTTCCTCCGAAAGGTTTTTCATTGGGTTTGCAAAATAAGGAGATAGAACGAAAAGTGGGAAGCAACGACGATCCCCTTGAGAGAAAGTCACTCCGTCTCGAATCCGGTGTGAACGAAGCTTCATCCATGTTTTTTTTTATACAGTCTGTCCTTTGCGCACCGTCGCTCCTCTACGTGTCTCCCTGCCTCCTTTTCTCTCATTCAACGGATCCTTCATTGAATGTACATATCTTATCGATATAATAAAAATACGCTATTCGATACTCCAGCAGCGTCTTCCTCTACCAGAGCAACTCCTCCTCCCAAAGGACCACCTCTCCTCGTCTTCGTTCAGAAGCTCCCGGGACTCGTGAATGACAATGTCAAAGATGGAAGGATGAGATGATTACGTCGAGATTCAGAGAATTTTAAGGCACCGTTTCTATTAAAATGTGAATATTTATTCATCTCCATGGTTCTTTAAGCTATAAAATAATGCACTCCTCTCGCTGCTTCCTCGTCGGATTATATAACAAAATATTATGACTAATAATAATAATATAGCTGTAGGATAATAGTGGTAGTAGTAGAATAGTAGTAATAGAGATAGCAGTAGTAATAGTAGGATTCGCAGTAGTAATGACGATGCCGACGATACCAATGGTATTAGTTAAGAAGTCATGCAATCGTATATTCTCTATTTGTTGGGCGCGCGCAGTCATTCTTAGCTTCTTTCTCTCGAATTTCGATATTCATTGTATTCAGGCTCTCAGTGAGTCGTCTTGATATGGGAAACGGTTAAAGGGGAAGGACAAAGAGAAGGAAACGTAAAAAAAAAACGAAAGTCTCTTACGAGTCAAAGAGACGTAAGGCAAAGTTGATAGGGGGAAAAAAAAAAAAAAGTAAGAGTGTCCAAAGTGGCCGGGAAAAAATATTTCTCTGAAATGAGGTTAATCTTACTTATTGTTAGAGTCGACTCTTAACGTTGCTACGTATGTATATTAATGTATACCTTACCTCGTCGTGACGGCACACGTTAAGCTTACCAGGTTTTTTATCGTGAGAGCCGAAAAATACACTTAAACCTTAATGCGCCACTTGTTAATAAAATAATCATTAACAAGGTCCGTTTCGTTAATTGCCGGCGCTTAAAGGACATACCGGATAACTTATTTTAATTATTTTAATCGTATCATAATAATAGTACTCTTATCGTCTTATCGAATTAAGAAAGAATCACGCCTGAGGCCGGTTTGGCCCATTAGGCTCGTGTGTAGGTACTCGCGTGAGACAACACGGAGGAAGTATGGAAATGGACGTCAGGACGTGTCAGGACGCCAGGGGCGTCGGGACGGTCAGCCTGGAACGTTCCCATCAGCTGATCAGTTACTCGGAGATAATTCGTATGTACAGTAAAATTAATCGCACGAATGTTCCGCTTTCGCATGCTCCAAGAAGAGTGAGGAAGGGGGAAGAGAAAAGAGAAGAAATAGATAAAGGGAAGTGATGGACGAAACGGAGGAAGAGATTGCGTAGGTATCGCCTGCAACCGGGAACGCATATTTCTAGTGGAAAAGCACGGTGGTTTCCCACGTCCCGGACATGTCCCGTTTGGGACGTGCCACGGGCGCGGCCGAATTCTTTGTACACTTATTGAAGGGGGTCTCTTGTCTTATCTCGTAGCCCCTCGCTTCCGGAGGCTACATGAAAATTGGTCCTGTTTCGCCGGAAAGATCGGTGGGCGGGAGGGGACAAGGGGGACAAGGGGGGCAAGAGAGGGGAGGGGAACGAAAGGGGTGAAGGGATACAAAATAGGGCCACGTGGATATGAAAGAAACAGCAGGTGCGCAAGTTGTTTGCTGGAATAATTCTCGGCGGCGTCCCGACGGTCGGGACGTGGACGTGGAAGAAAAGACTCCTTCGCAGGGAGGTTTCTTTTCTATCGGAGAATTCTCTTCCTCCGGGATCCGATGACGTGCAGCAGTTGGTCGAGATACGTAGAATCGCGTACGTGGACAAATGCGTCACGTATGTGCTCTGGCGATATACCACTTGCGTCTCTATTCGTGATTAGCGGAGAGCGGGACGTAACGGACACAGATCCCTGCAGGGAAACAGGAGGGGGGAGGAGGGAGGTGAGGGGGGCTGGGGGTGTGGAAAGCACGATCCCTTAGCGACGGTACGGATGGTAATTGTTGGAGCTTGACGAGGAGCCCGAGTAACCCCTTTGGGGCCCACCCCCGGTGTAGTTGTCGTTGGTTCCTGGGGCAGCGGGAACGCTCGCGAGGGTGGACGAAGACGACGATCCGTATCCGGTGCCTGTTAGAATCGCATAACAAAAGAACGTAGTACTGTGTGCGTGTGTCTGTGTGCCAGGAAGCGGCGAGGCTGGAGTCTGGATTTGGGTCTTGGATTTTGTGCTCTTCGACTTGGACTTGTTTCATGTAGATTCGATCCAGGCAGCCAGTGGGATAAGGTAAGTGACGTAAGTGACGTAAGTGACCTAGTAGGTTGCGAATGTCACACTCTCGATAACAGAGACCAACTGAGAATCATCAGAACAAAAAGTTGCGAATAATTGTGAAAACAAAAAAAAAAGGATGAAAAACACTTGTTACAATCTTTTCGTGAACGAGGAATCGTACAGCTAACGGTCGAACTCGTTCTTTACAGCTAATTATCATTCTCTTAGTTAATCTTAATTAAGCCGATCCTCATTAGTCGACTAGCTTAAATTTTAGTGATCCTCTTAAGAGTCTATAAAATGACAAATTTCTTTAAATGTAAATCGCATAGAAAGCAAACTCGTGCTTCGGAGTGCGAGAGCGTGGTCACAGAGGGATCGGATGTTTGTCGGGGAGTCGGGATATTCGGGGCGCAGGATTTTTGAGGATAACTTTTGTTCTCTCCTAATTTCCCAATTCCGCGATGGCTCGCGCGTCAGTCGTCACATCACCATCACGATCATCACGATCATCACCATCGCCATCCTTCCTCCCATTCTCCCGATCAGCCTTTCGCACTTTGACACGGTCTCTCGCGCACTTTTTAACCCCGCCACTCTCTTGAGAAACCCTTAACGTCTGTAGGGATGGTAGTTGGAGTGTTGGGTCAGGGAGAATCGTTGGGGACCAGGTGCGGCATCGCCATTGGGGATGAAAGTCGGGCTGCCTGTCCCGCCAGTTTTGAATTTTGGGATCGGAGAGGACTCTGCTGAAAGAATATAGAGACAGGACAGCTGATTAAAGTGATTCGGGAGACACTCGCGGGATAACGGGGATAACGGGGATAACGGGGACAATGGGAACGAAGGTCACTACGGTAGAGTTACTTAGGAATGCTTAGAGGCCTAAGTCTAACATGATAAAAAGAAAAGTACACTATGATTAGAAAGCTTAACCTAGAGGATGCTGGAGATATCCAAGCGTCTCGGAAGCGTGGCAGTCATTAGGTATACTACAATTATCGCTAGCTACTACAATTAACTTATCGATTAGTAAATAATGATTAAAACTAAAATTTATTAGAAACCGCTCCGCCCCTAAGACGCCACCGGACACGCTACGCTGAGTCGCCCATCTCAAATCCGAGACAAGGAGCACAACGGCAATTGGCCAGCCGAGAGAGCAGGAAAATTATTAAAGAGAAATAAAGAAAAAGAGAAAGAAAAGTGCTCGACGCTCTCAGATCGAAGACGGCGACTCGTCGATCGCAATGATCGGAGGGACGCGCATAAAACACTGCACCAATCGCTCGAGTATAATTGAAATACGCTAACGTGGCTCTCGTGTGCGTCAGGAATAACGTGATGATTGTCAAGGAAACAACGGCGCGAAATTCGAAAGTGTGGACCACCTCGTAATGGCTCGTAGACATCGAGATGGACGCAACGCGTGCCAAGCCCGGGGATACACATGTATATATATTTTACAAAATAAAAAAAAAATATTAAAATAATAAAGGAAAAAAAGTATTGAACAAAAATATACGCATCGAAGTAGTTCTAAGTTGGCTATGGGGACACGTGAGAGAGATGGTGGCTGATGCCGATGGACATTTTGATTAAAACTCAAAAATGAAATTCGAGAAGAATATTCGCGCAGGACGCACTCTCTCTCTCTCTCGTACCAGAAATCAATATGTGCCTATCAATGAACTCGCCCGTCCTATCGTACAGTCAGGCTAACGTGACGCAACCGTAACCGTACGGCGCGGCAGTACCAGACAGGTGGAAATAAAAAAAAAGCAAGATCAGTTTCGTAGCAGAGACAACAAAGCCATTGGATGGATCCGCGTCCGGAATTCAAACACCGGATCGACCGTTGGCACTGAGGTTTAATTTTTTTTTTAATTTTTGTAATTTTTCCAAAACAATCCAAAACCCCCCTAAAGACCAATCCTCCTCCCGCGATCATTCTGATCCTCTGAATCGCTCGCCCGTTTGTACGTATATACGTACGTATACGTATGTGTATACGTATACCTATACACACCCACGCATTCTCGCGCACTCTTTGCGACCGGAAACGGAAATTTCATGGAATGAATTTTGTTATATTCGTCCACGTGTGAGAAAAGCCATTGATTTCAGGATAAATATACATATCTATGTATTCATATATATTATATATATATTCATATACATGTGCAGTGTTTTAAGTCTTTTTAGTTGATCGGGATGCGCAAGGAATTAACGATAACGGTCCACGTTGAAAGAAACAGAGGCCTGGGAGATAGAAAGTCCTTTTTTTTTAGGTTTTTCAGCATTTTTTTTTTCTTCTTTCGACAGAGACAAAAGAGGCTGCGCAGTTTTCCATTTTAATCCATATGATCTTTTTTTTTGTCATTCTATTTAATTCATCCTCATAATCTATACCAGTGTGTCTATGTGTGTCTTTGTGTATATAGTGTATACTTTACGAATAATGATCCACTTTTCTCTATATTATTATATATATCATTATATATCGTATATCATCATAATCGTCGTAATAATCATCAGCATATACCAACTAATCATCGTCGTCGTATCGTTAATATAATTATATAATCATTACCATCGTTATTAATTATTATTAATTATTAATCATTATTATTATTCATTACTCATAATATTATTATATCTTATATCAAGTATCAATTAATTAATCCACTAGAAACACCGTTAAGTATATTAATATATATAATATATATTTTTTGTTTAATAATAGCAATAATAATAATAATAGTAGTAGTAGTAATGTAGTTGTAGTAGTAGTAGTAGTAATAGTAGTGGTAGTAGTAGTAGTAGTAGTAGTAGTAGTAGTAGTAGTAGTAGTACTGTTTTTGCAGTGTCGTCGGGAAATTGTGGCTGCTGTTCGTGAGGAAGCGTGATAGGTCAATCTGGAGGAATCGCGAGGGGTCACGAGGAATTACATAAAGATTTATCAGAAATTGGAAGGAGAAGGAAGATCCCGAGGGACTCGTCATTTCTTTTCTCGTTCCGAGCCGAGAGGCAAAATTTGATAAAAGAGTAACGAGAGACGAAAAGGAATTTAATGAAAATAAAAAATGAAAAAAAATTTACAAGAAAATCGAAAAATCTCCATCCCTCGTGATTTCTCTTGTTCTCTGTCAGTGACAGAAGAATCACGACTCGATCTAATTTATAGGACCAATTTTTGATTCCTTCTCGATGTAATCTCGGGATGGGGTAATATACATGGTATCAGGGTGGAGGGGCCAAGGGTCACAGATATCTCTCACAGACTCTCCCCCCACCCGCCCCGCTCAATTTCTAATTTATGGAATTTTGGCAAATTCTCGCGAAACCCCCTTCTTCTCCCAGCCGATTAAAGATCTAGCTTAGGAAAAGATGAAAAAATAATGAAAAAAAAAAAAAAAAACCACGGAACACGCCGACCTTTGAAAGATTCCTAAAATTAGGCAAACATCGTCATATTTCCTGCATCCGCTCTCGCTCTCTAATTCTCCCTAAGAGAATCGAGAGACCCTCTGTGCGTCGTAACGTTCCTCCTAGGTCCTAGTCCTTAGAGCGATTAGCCAGGCTAATAAGAAATGAGTCCTGCTGCTGGTCTCTTAGTCGTAGTTTTTGGAAAAGGCCGCGGGCACGCGTCGTCGTCACACGTAATTGTAAACACTAAGGACATAGCTATACTTCATTAATGTTAAACGTCTATTCCCTATACTTTGTTTCTCAACCTATCGAGACTTCCCTGGATCGTCCATATTATTATTATTACCTATATCCTTACGCGCGAACCTTAAAATCCTGAAAGTGACGCGCCTGAGTTTGTCGCTTCCTTCTCCCCTATCCATCCCCCCTCCTACTAGTTCGCTATTCTTCCGCTCGTGCCTGGGTGCCCCTGGTGGGTGGCTGTGTGTCAGTGTGACGTGTTTAACTAGTGATGCTGATGCTGGTGGCTTCTGGCTCGACGCCATTTTCATTTCCTTTGACTTCGCAATTTGCGATTCGCCCGGCTGCGCGCTTCTTCCTAATTTAATCTATTGTTCTCGATCTCTCTCTCTCTCTCTCTCGCTCTCATTCACACGTACCCTCACAGTCAAAAGCATTCGCATTCGCTCCGACATTCTTCACATGCTCTCGCGATCTTGCAGGAAATTAATTATCAACGACTAATCAACGACTTAGATACTTTGTTTTCGTAATCCTTCGTTATTACAAGATTTACGCAATAATTACGATTCTCGTTTTCTCTCTCTCTCTCTCTCTCTCTCTTTTTTTCTTTTTCTTGGGAACACAATAGTTGGCATTTTGTTTTGTCTTCGTTTAAAAATATTCTACCGCCCCTCGACGCTCTCGCCGGGCCGATTTGTCCGACGTCCTTCGCGCCCGTAAGAAATCCACTTACTAAGATCTGCCTTATTCCGAGTTATTAATTAATATAATTAGTCAATAATCGATTCATTAATGAATAACAGTCAACGTGATATCGTTTTGTAATATATCCTCAGTAAACCGATCCTATTTCACACGTACGCCTATTGGCTATAAGAAATTACGTTTATATACTGTGTTTCGCGACAATTAAAAACGAGTTAAGTGATAAAAACGATTTTCTCTCTTATCCACCCCCCTCCCTCCCGCTCCCCAACTTCCCCTACTCTGCGCTCGTTTAGGATACTTTCTCAGATAATCAATTTATAATACATTTGTACACAACTTATTTTGTTAATCAGTAATTAGTCGATTAATCTATTAACGTCGTATCGCTCTTTCTTTCTCGCCCTCGTTTTCTCACAGATTCTCTCTCTTTCTCTCTCTCTCTCTCTCTCTCTCTCTCTCTTTCTCGCTTAGA